ACAAAAATGTGTGTGATCATTAGGCCAAATTTTGGAATTGGGTTTTAAATATGTTTCTAGCATGAAAAGACATAGTAATATGTATGGGCATGATTTTTTTTTTATCTCCATTAATTCTAAGGTCCTTTACTTGTCAATAATATTGTTACACTCATACCATATGACACTTTCTATCTACATGTACAATTGTATAAAAGATTAAGAGGAGAGAATTCAATTCTCATCTAAAAAAAAATGAATAAGAGAAGGTTTCTTGTATTTTATTAACTTGCCGTGTGAGATTTTAAGAATTTTCGCAGGCATTTAAAGTGATCTCATACTGTGTAAATCAATAAGATTTCACAAGTATAGAGATCCAATTTATATGTACAATCAATGGTTTCAATGACCAACCGTTAAAACTAACTATCTTTTTATAATCTAAATAATCCATTTAAGTTCCGTGTGGAATTTTAAGAATCTTCATAAGGACTTAAATTAATCACAGTATCGTGTGGGATAATAAGTCCTCGCAGATATAGTGATTCTCAATTTTTATTTTGCAAATAATCATATAATACACAATTTAAAAATTAATTAATTAAATTAATGCATTTAACTTGTAATCATATTCACCAATTATATCTTTTAGTCATGTGAGATTTTTGAATCTCCGTAGACTTCTAAGATAGTCGTATTATCGTATGAGTCAATAAGACTCTGTAGATATAACGATTAAGCTTTCTAAAAATATATGTATAAATTATATATTAAATTAATTAAACTAAAAAGATGTATTTAAATAAATTTAATTCTTTTATCGTGTGAGATTTTAGAATCTCCGTAGATATTTAGGATACTCACATTATCGTATAAGTCAATAAGGCTTTGCAGGTATGATGATTAAAATTTTTTAAAAACATGTATATACACACTTAAAATATATTATTAACACTTAAAAATATACATAAGGATATAGAATAAATTAAATTGCTAAACTCTTCTATCGTGTGAGATTTCGAAATCTCCGCAGATATTTAGAACAATTGCATTACCGTATAAACTAATAAGGTTCTGTAGGTATTGCAATTAAAATTCCCAATCACAAAAGATAAAAAAATGATTTTAAACCATTTCCTTTTCTTTAACTCAAAATTCAAAAATTAAGAAAATAATTAAAATTAAATTACCTTTTGCAATTTAAAACACACATATCAAAATTTCAGAAATTGTTTTATTTGCAAAATGGTGAGTTATTTCTAATTAATTTCTCTTCAAAAAATATTTTTACCGACAAACTTTTAAGCCCGAACTACGTGGACTTTGATCCCCATCACAGGGTACGTAGGCCTCAGAGTCAGATTCTGAGTCAAGTCCGTCCTCCCTCGTAAATAAATAAACATTTCTCACTCAATTATCATCATTTTTATATCAGACACATGAATATAAAGGGGATAATTAAAATAATTTTAAAACTATATTAATAGAGCACAACAAACTTCTGGTAACCGTTTTCACGAACGGGTGTTATGGGGTGCCTAACACCTTCCCCACACTCAACCGACTCCCGAACCTATTCTCTGATTTCGCAGATCACCCTTATCTCCTTTTAAATGGTTTCCCGAAATTTACCTCAAAATCTTGGTGGCGACTCCTCATTCGATCCGGTTCCCGCCGCGAAGGCCGGGACCTCCGCTCGCGCGCCGTCCGCGTCGCATTTTTCCGGGTGCGACAAACGGCAACTGGATGTCGTCCGCTATTATCACCGATGCATCCCAACGCCACCGATTCCACCAGTCTCAGATCATTAATCGCTTTGGAAATTAGGAACGGTCGCATACTCTCAACAAACTTGAACGGAAGAGGTAAAAGAAGAGCAAATCTAGGATCGATCATATTCATGAACACAAGCATATAGTTTTGCAACAACACGAGAAGACTAATTAAAGATCAAGGCCAGACAAAATCAACACAGACCCTAGACTCCAAATGATTTTCCATGAGACCATGATCATCTTCTTGGTGGTGAGGCTCGAGTTTTTGAAGGATTGGGCGGAAGCAGGCAAACCAGTCGAAGCAGATGCAGAAGCAGCAGATAGAGGTGAAGATGTTTGAGGAACAGTGAGGAGAAGAAAAATAGGAAGCTATGAGAGCTGCAGAATCCCACTTGCGATTCCCAACAAGTTCTGAAAATAGCAGTTGTATCATGGAAGCCATACAAATTCTAAAACCCATATTACGTTGAAATATTATTCCTTTGTTAAAGCTCATGATGAAATCGGATCGACCATTTTACTGAAAGAACTCAGATAAGTGGGCTGAAAAGGTAAAAGGATTGGGATGATGATTGGTGATGAAGGAACAGAAGAAGCCGCTGGTTTGAAAGAGTTTCTAGAAGCTGTGGCATATAGTTCTACTTTCAGGAAAGTAAGAGAAATGAAGTTTTTTTTTTTTTTTGGGGTTGTGACCGCTGATCTCCCATCAGCGTTGAGGTGGCCGGGAGGACATATCGTTGAGGGTGGCGGAGAAGAAATCCTCATCGGAGGTGAGAGAAATGAGAGACCCAAAACAGTTGTGTATGAGTGAGCCAAATGAGTCATTTCACTTAAAAACATAAATGCAAATAAAATCTTTGGGTCTTCAGAATAATATCAAATTTTATTAAACCTTGTCTACAAATTTCCTATTTCTGAAGCCCCTGAATGCAATTTTCCCTGTTAATAACTTGCTAGTTACTCATGAGAGAAAGCACTTCTCATTAATTAAAGTACAGCCAAAGGTGATGAAGATGACATGTAATGCACCCTAACTGCAGAGAAAAAAGAGTAGTACAATCCACAGTGCATAAGTATTCATGGAAGGTATGAGATGATAATGGTGGCTAGCTAATAAAAGAACTTGAAAATGAAAATAGAATCAATTCGTACGCGCGCGCGCCTCTGGCCAGTGGTATGATTATTAACTTCAATGTTGGGACGTATCCTTTGTCAGAAATATAATGGCGACCAGCTAACACGCACATTGATATCTTTGCAAATGTCCAACTGTAATAATGTCCGGTGGGCATGGCGATCGAATCTCCACAAGAGAGGTGTCTACTTTCATTGCCTGGCCATTTATCTTCTTGAACATGATTGAGTTCAATGGGAAGATAATAGCTATGAGTAATGTACAAAAAATGTCAGGGTGCAGATACCCTTTTTTTCTTTAGCCAATCCATCCTAGCTTATTCTTTCTTTGTTCTCGTTCCTGAAAATAAATACTGAAAATTTTAATCTTTTGAATTTGGTTCATCTAGTTTAACTTTTATTGACGTGGTCTTTTAATGATTGTCTCGATTATTGATTTGTTTTTTATTATTTAAATAAGAGATAATACTATTAAAATTTTTCATAAATTTTATATCGAGGAGTTTCACAAATAATGTAAGATTTATATAAGTGTGAGAGGCTTTTTCACTTAATAGACTAGTCTTCAAAAAATGACAATAAAATTATTTCAAATTATAAAACATTTTTCCAAATAGGATTCCTATCACTTTGATTGGCCAAATGACATTTATGTGACTCTTACATTATTTCCTTAAAATTTGTTTTCTTTATCAACCGCCCATGTAAGGCACGCGGTTTTATAATTTATGATTAATAATTAATAATTAATTTTTTCTTGTTCAAGTTTATAAGATAATTTTAAATAAATTATACATATCAACAAATTTTATTAAATATAGTTTACAATATTATTTTTTCAAAATAAAAATAAAAATTTTTAAAAATATCCTTCATTTAATAACCTTAAAGAGAGAAAATTGAGACTTATGTACTTAGCCTTTTATATTTAATATACTTGTATCTAATCAAATCATGACAAGTGAATCTTAATGTGTAAATAAAATTAATAACAAGAATTTATTATTAAATAAATAATATATTAAAGATCTACATGACAATATTTAATTGGAAACAAGCATATTAAGTGTATAAAACTTAGCATTCAGTGAGTGAAAGGTATTGAGTCAGTAATCTAAAGACACTCACACAATAAATGTCTCAATTACATAATTTTATTAATACTTAAAATATATTTTCATCTAAAGACTTGAGACAATCCTCCTAATCATAACACTCCTTACTCATGATGGCCCCTCCAAGAATTTCAGATTTGATATTTTTGAGTATTATATGACAAAATCTTTGACAATCATTCTAACAAATGAAATTGTTGTTTTTTGTGTGGCATAATACATTCATTAAGTGAGTGTATTTAAGCCACTGATTAGATCTAAATCTGGGTAAGTATTGAAAAATTATATATCATAAGCACAAGTCCAAATGGTGAACCCATACCAAAAAAATATCTTGTTAAGAAGGAGAGCTCTTTACGCATATAAACTTTATTTTATCTATAAGACTTCTTGATGTAAGACTCATTTCTAATACATTTAAAGAAATTTTATTTTTATTAGATTATTTTATAATTTAAGACACTGAATCACCTTCAAAATTGTCTTATAAACCAGAAGCAAAGGGTCGTTTTGCCATGAAATTGTTTTCGGCACGTTTGTCCCATTCCCCTGCCCCAGACCATAATAAATAAGTGCCATCAATCACACCATGAAACACCACGCTAAACAAGAAAATCATAATCTTCCCCTCCCACCATTGATCATGGCTTCCAAAAAACAAGTTCTTATTCTCCTTTTTCCTCTCCTCACACTGTCCTCCATCATCAAGCCCTCCCATGCCAATGACCGTTTGACAAACGCCAATAGCGGCAAAGTCGCCGTCTACTGGGGACAAAAAAGTGAATCCGGTGAAGGGAACTTAACTACTACATGCGACTCCGATGTCTACAACATCGTCGCCCTCGCATACCTTCATGTGTATGGCAACTCAACAACCTTAGTATTGAGCAACCATTGTCCTTCCGGCGATTGCAAAGCCCTAGCATCGGAAATTCAACATTGTCAAAACAAAGGCATCCCAAGTCTTTCTTTCCCTTGAAACTGACGGGATTGATGACCCAAATTCCCTGGGAAGCCATCTTTAAGATGAATTCCTTAGAAGCGAATCGGAATCTGGCCTTCTTGGACCGGTGGCCTTAGACGGCATTGATCTTGCCAACCTTGATCAGAGCACTGAGTCATGGGTCGACCTTGTGAAGGCAATCGATGGTTCGGTTAAATTCTTTATATTAAATAAAAAGATAGTCTACTTTACCAAAACAATTAAAGTCACTTGGTTAATCATTTACCAAGCTATATATATATATATATCCATGATCAATCTCTTAATTTCTAGATGTGTGATTTCTTTTATCTCTAATAGGTTCGACCCAAGAAAGAAAGATTTACATATCAGGAGCTCCACGTTGCGAACTCACAAACTTCGACAGCGCAATCGCTACTGGTCTTGTGGATTATCTTTTTGTTTTATACTATGGCCAATACGCGACGTGCGAATATTTAGGAAATGGCGACTTCACGGGGCTTCTTGAATCATGGTCGACGTGGACGTCCAAGGAAGGTGTAGCTGATCATACCTCTGTGTTCTTGGGGTTAGTAGCGTCAGATGACCCAGCTGCAGCATCCAGTGGTTACATATCACCAGAACAGCTCGAGTCTGTGGTTTTTCCGAACGTGACTGAATCTTCAAACTTTGGTGGAGTGATGATATGGAACAGGTACTATGATGAGCTAACTAGTTATACTACTGATATTAAGGATGCTTCTGGCATGAAAGTTTGTAAATATGTTCGTCGTGTTCCTGCCTCAAGGAAATTCAGAAGTTTCTTGGCCAAATCTGTGTAAGATGGGAAGGGATGTAATAATAGCTTGACATAGCTATATCTATGTCTAGCTACAGCTAGGCTTGCATGCCAGTGTGACTGTATGATCCATGCATGTTTTACTAAAACCATGTAATGGATATCTCCCTTTAAATAAAGATCTACTTTTGTAAATCTGAGCTTTGAACGATATATTTTGTTAATGATGTGTTTAGATGTACGAAGATTTAATTTGGATTTAAAATTGGCTTCTTAACCAAGACGAAGCTCAAGTGTAATGTTGCAAGCAAAAGGTTTAGGCAACCGAAAGCTCAATTCTATTATAAAGCATTTGGATTAATGAATTTGAATTTTATATTTGAAATCTTACATTTCAAATATCAAATTTGAAATCATTTATTTGGGTAGTTTGAAAAATTTTAAGCGAAGAAAAGAAATGAATTGAGATTTGAAATGAAGATAAAAAATAAAAAATGAAGAGTTTATTTATATTTTTTATTTACAAGAGGTGAGAGAATATAAGAGAATCATAAAAGTATTAATAGTGAAAAACACAGAAAAAACAAAATGTTTAAAGTGGTTATTAGAGTTTCAAATAACTAGAATGTAGAAGAAATTTAAAATTACAAAAAAATTGTAATTTGAAATAGATTTGAATTTAAACCAAAATCAAATTCATAAATTTATGTATATATTAATGAAAGATTTGATTCAAATCATTTCAAACTTAAATCCCCATTAATCCAAGCACACTATTACATTACTCACTGCTAGCTTGCATGCTTATGGTTGTGAGTTTTTGAAGATGAATGTATCTTTTGAATGAAATTATGTATTTTGGACTATAGAACTGTCCAGTGAAGTGAGTATTTGGTGTTATATGACGAATGAAACTTGGACGAGTTATAATTGATGATGATTTGCTTTCTATGTTTATGATTATGCTGAAATATAAGTCATCTATAAATGACATTATAGTATGATCATGTGAGTTGTTATGGGAAGTTACTTTATGGGACGATATATTTACTTTCTTTTTTTTTTTGGTGAATGACGATATATTTACTTTCATTAATACAATGTGATATGCTACCATGAACGCCACAATGATAAAAAGATATTAGTATGTTACTGCTAGGCTTCAGTCATTTGCTTTAGAAAAGTTGTTACTCTATTCTTAAATAGTTACCGTCCCGCAAATGTTTTATTTCAAATTTTAAATAGGGGGCAAATTTATCATTTTATCAAAAATCAATATATCATACAAGTCCCTAGAGACTATACAATAACTGTGACATTTCATGATTTTTTTTTATCATTTTCATATTTCAAGGATTTTTTTTTGTCGTTCTTCTTTACACCATCCTACGAGGAGAAGAAAATGAGAGAAAATAATGAAGCCAAATTATACGTTAGGACCACCAAAACAAAGACAAGAGAACTTGTGACCATAATTTTATGCAGATTTTTGTCAACCACGTAAACGATTGGTACCACTTTGATATAAAGCAGCGAGTGCGTTGAACACATGACCTCCTTTTCGATGGTACAATAATTCCTTTCAATAGGCTATAGCTATCCATTTACCATGCATTAATTTGAACTTTATGCTTTTTTTTTTATTTATAAGAATGAGGTTGTAAAAATACTACCATTTACATGAATAGCATTTCCTTTATTTGCCCGATGCAGACATATATAATGTAATTAATACACACACACACAAATAAACTATATGTTTGATTATAATTATTCCTGGCCACTAGACCAGATAATTAATTAACTGTAATTTAAAGCCACACCTTCTTTGAATTAATGAAAGAAAATCATCGTAAATATTCAATATCGGACATAACATCCCATTTCTTTGAACAATGATTTAATACAATGCATATGTGGAAGCATTTTTTTAAATAAATTTCAACGTTTATATTTCAGAGCTTAGAGAAAGATTTCGTTGAATTCCTTTTTTTAAAAAAAATTACATAAAATATGTTTGGTTATGATTCCACTGAGATCAGATTGTTACTTTAATGTAAAGCAATACGTTAGTTGATTTAACGATTTTTAAAATCCATGGGAAATATTCAATAATAAGTCTTTTGAACCAGGATTTAGAACGAAGCAGTAGCATCCTTGACCTTTGGAAGAATTTTTTTTTTTAATTTCCAGGAAATCATTATGATTTTTTTAAAAAAATAATTGATATATTTGAAAGAAGGAATCACGTTTATGATATCTCAAATAAGGAATTATCAACATTACAATTAATCGAATATGCTATGAGGTATTCAATCTAAAACATTTTAAAAAAAAAAAAAACAAGTAACGGTCGTTGAAGAGTATTTTCATAGGTACTCTTCTAAAACGAAAATGTGTTTCATTCAATATCATTATTTATTTGGTGGCCTCAATATTTGTTTATTGATAGCTCCTATGCATGTTACGCGTTCCCATTTTAGCTGTGGACAGTGGTTTGCACGCTAACGGACTGATGGGACATGAGATTAATTAGATTTAAAACTTTTATTTTATTATAATTATTATAGTATAAAAGAAAGTCTCACATCTAAAGATTAAAAGATAAATTATAAATATATATAAGCTTATGAAGTATCTAATTAAATGGCTTAAGCTATTTTGGTGGGACATACTATCTTTAAGCATACTTAATATAAAAAATCTAACATGGTATCATGAGCCATTTGATTAGAGTACAAAAAAAAAAGGAAAGAAATGAAAGAAATGAAAGATGAAAAAAAAAATACAACAAGACATTAAAAAAAAGGAAAAGAAAAGAGAGAAGAAGAAGAAAAAGGAGAAAAAATTAAATAAATCTGAGGCCTCTAAGACTAAAAAAGTACAAGCCCAAGGCAAGAAGAAGAAAAAAAAATAGAGAGAAAAAAAGTAGTAAATAGAATATTATAGTATAAAAAGTAGTCCCACATCTAAAGATTAGAAAATGAATCATGAATATATAAGCTTAGGAAATATCTAACCAAATGACTTAAGCTATTTTGGTGGAACATACTATCCTTAAACATACTTAATATAAGAAATTTAATAATAACGACCTTAAAAGAATGATTTGAACAAATGTAATCTCTTAGATTACTAGATTATCTTTTAAATTATTTTAAAATATTTGCATTTAATTGAAAGGCACTTGATTTAATTAGTTGAGGGAGTTGAATTAGCTTATATTGGGATCTTAAGTTTGAGTCCTGAAACATATATAGTCACGTTAAATAAATATGCTAAAAACATCCTTGAGGTACCTATGAAATAGCCATAAGTAATAATGATCTTATACAACAAGGGTTAGAATTAGTTTGAATAAGAGGTGATAATACCCTCAACTTTTCCAAGATACCAAATGATGGAATTGAAAAAATATATATTTGAATTTAATTATTAATATTTATAGAATATTTAATTATTAGCTATAGCTAGGCTTTCATGCCAGTGTGAGTGTATGATTATCCATGCATGTTTTATTAAAACCATGTAATGGAGATCTCTCTTTAAATAAAGATCTACTTTTATAAATATGAGCTTTGAACAAATTTTTTTTAAATGGTGTGTTTAGATGTACAAAGATTTGAATTTAAATTTCGTTTCTTAGCCAAGATCGGAGTCTCAAGTGTAAAGTTGTAAGCAAAGGGTTTGGGTGACCGAAGCTCAGTTTTCTTATATTACTAATTGCTTGCTTGCATGCTTGTATTTGTGAGTTTTTGAAGATGAATAAATCTTTTGAATGTGAAATTTTGTATTTTGGATTTTAGACATGTGTAGTGAAGTGGGTATTTGGTGTTATGTGATAAGTGAAATGTGGACGAGTTATAATTGATGATGATTATGTTAAAACATGACTCATATAAATGACATTATAGTATGATCATGTGAGTTTGTCATGGGATATGAAGTCATTTTAACTTATGGGACGATATATATTTTTTAATTAATACAATATGATATGCTACCACGAAGTTCACAATGGCAAAAAGATACTTGTTATTTAATTTGTTATTAGGTTTCAGTCGTTCACCCTAGATAGGTTGTCACAATTTCTACTCTTACATAGTTACTGTTCTCCAAATATTTTATTTCAAATTTTAAATAGGGGCTACATTCTTCATTTCATCAAAAATCAATATACTAGACAAGTCTCTAGAGACTGCATAATAATTATCACTTTTTATGACATTTCTTTATCATTTACATATTTTATTATTATTATTTTTTTGGTCATTCTTCCTTGTACCATCCCACGAGGAGAAGAAACTGAGAGAAAATAATAAAGCTAAATTATACGTTAGGAGTTAGGGCCACAAAAACTAGGCGAGAACTTGTGACCATAATTTTGTGCAGATTTTTGTCGCCACCTAAACAAATGGTACCACTTTGATATAAAGCAGTGAGCACGATGAACACGTGGTGTCCTTCTCGATGGTACAATAATTCCATTCAATAGGCTATGGGTATCCATTTATCTTTTATTTTTATTTATAAGAATGAGCTTATCAAAATATTATCAATTACATGAATAGCATTTATTTTTTGGTCCCATGGTAAAAAACTATCTCATTTCACTAGACTCAACTTAATCTTTCACTAAACTCAACCCAATGATGTAATTGGTTAAGTTGTGAAGTGCCTGTTTGAATGTCCTAGTTGAGCCTATATATTGTGGGCATTTGGTTTTGTCTTTGTATTTTTTGGGCCCATTTTTGACCTTTTAGCTCCTAATTCTAAAATTAAGCATAAAAATAAAACCGAGTCATAAATATACCTTTTTTCATATTTTTATGCCACAAATATCCATCTTAGAAGTCATAATTAACATATATTTCAAGTAATAAATAGGTTTATCAGAACCTTATTTCTGCTATGATCAAGATGCAATTGAAGCTGATATGCTAGCTTAAGCTAATTAAAGTTATGATCTCTTGTATGTTACCTGATAAGCTTATGTGGAAGGTGGCAAAAAAACGGAGAATAGAATGCTAAGCAAGGATATAGGAGGGAAATGCAGATATCATCTTCGTTGGGCGTAAAAAGTAGCTTGATTCCTCTGTAATTCATCGAAGTATTAAAAATCAAGCCGGTCATCAACTGAATAAGGCACTGGTCCAAGGATAATGGTGAAAACTGTAGTCAAATGGTGATCAAGTTACTGATCATAAACAAAGCATTTTAATAAATTGATTAAGACACTATTTTAACAATTTGGTAGTTTAATTGGATGAATTAACCCGGATTTTCATATTATGGTCTTTGATGATAGTAGGGTCCGGAAAATTAAATGTCATCTATATGTCCTCCCTAAACTTAAACACTTTACTTGGAGGTTAATAAATTATGCCTTGATTACTAAAGAAGCTCTCTACAAGAGGCCTGGCCATGGTGACCCATTTTGCAAGACTTGCAGCCTTAATGTTGAATCTCTTGAACACATTTGTTTCTTCTATGTGTGATTGGGGTGAGAGCTGGTTGGTTAGGTTGGTTTTTGAATTTGCAGACTGACCCCCTTCAGACCCCTAATATCAGAACGTGGTTGTATGATCTGCTGTGTTCAAAATTCCCTCATGATTATTATGGCAAAGGTTAGGTGGTTCTCTTTTGCTGGAATAATTGGAAATTCCATTGTAAAATGGTTTTTGGTGATCAACCCCGTATCCTGGAAAGCTAATTGTGTGTCTGATCTGATGCTAGTCTTCATGTTTTGTTTTCCCAAATTGTGGCTGCTGCTACTTCATGAGCTAGCATTGGTATTGTTGCTTGGGACTTCAATGGAAAATTTATTTTTGGATGGCTTGAAAAGGTTCTAGTTGATTCTAGTTGATTCTAGTTTTATGGCTGAGCCGTGTGCAATCAAGAAAGCTATTGAACTATATTACCATCTTGGTCTGGCAATGTGGGCTTTATTATTGAGATGGATTGCTCTGAACTGTGTAGAGATTATCTCTATTGAGATAAGAAAAGATAACGCTAAACCTCTTTTAATTAAATTACGACATACATAAAGGTTGGGATTTAAACCTCCGATCACTTATTTAAGTGATGAAAGTCCTTGTCACTCTTGCTAATTTTAATCGGTTGCTCTCCTTGTTATTGTTTATTGTTTTGTTAGTTTCTTTACTGTGTTCCTCTGAACTTCGGGCTTTTGCCTCTTATTATTATGAATGCAATTTCCTTGCTAGCCAAAAAAAAAAAAAATCAGAATGCTTCACTGAGGTGAGCGATTAACATAAAAATTGTAATAATTCTCTTATTTTCACCAACCTTACTTTATCTATTTGCCTCTTTAATTTGTTTCTATTTCATTATGCACACACTCTTCCCTAACTTGGTTTAATTTCTCTACATTTCTCATCTTAATCCTTGGATCAATTGTTGAATGGTTAGGATTTATTATTTAATAAAATTATTATTAAAATGTGAAATGATAAAAAATAAATAAATAAATTTGAAATATAACAAACTTGATCTAAACTACAATCAAGATTTAGAATTGTAATTAAAAAAATTAAAGAAATAATTTACAAAATGTTAAACCCTAACAATTTAAAACTAGATCAAAGGGTTTAGATCAAATTAAATGAAGAGAAACCAAATCCCCCTTCCCCACCCTCACGGACTTTGGTGTGGAGGGAAACATACCCATTATGGGTTCAAACCTACGACCTCGTCAACCTCCGTGTTATTGAAGGTGTAGAGCTATTGTGATACTTGGGCTACTAATAAGATATGACAAATTTAAAATGTCAATATATTATTTTTATCTAGATATATAAAAGTCGATGGCATTTGGATGTAGATATATGAAAAATTATAAAATATTATGAATAAAGTTATAAAATAATATGTATAGCTTTGTACGTAAATTGTTTTTGTTGGATAAAGAAGGGGAATTTTATGTTATCCATGTAAATTAAGAAAGAAATAATTTAGGTGGTATTTGGATCAATGGATTTTAATTTAAATTTTAGATTTTAAATCTTAGATTTAATGCGTGTGTGTGTGTTTAAAATTCTTTGTTTGGATAGTGTAAAAATTTTAAAGGATCACTATGCAATTTGAACTCTGAACCATAAGTTTAGAAGTGATTTAAACTCAAAACTTTTAAAAAAATAGATTCTAAACTCTAAATAATTAAAGTTAATTTTTCCCTTACCATTAAATTTAATAAATGTCCATTAGTTTTTAAAAAATTGGGGCCGAATGTGCGATTTCCACCAATTTTCACTTTCTCTTTCTCCCCTACCCTCATTTGGTGAACATCATAGATTAAGCCTCATTTGATGGATGTTTGTTTAAATTTAACAGTGAGGAATTAATTGCCCCAACTTTAATTATTTAAAATTCAAAATGTACTTTTTAAAAGTTTAAGATTTAAATTGCTCCTAAATCTATAATTTAAGGTTCAAATTGTATACTAACTTAATTTTAAAAGTATAAGAGAGACAAGTTGAGATTTGAAACAAAAATGAACTTACCTTTATTTTATTTTCTTTAATTGGTGAGAGGCAGGGACAAGAGATGAGAAAAGAAGTGAGAATAACATAGGCACTAACAACAAAAATGTGAAGAAAACCAAATGATTGGATTGAAATTTCAAATAATTAAGCTTTAATAAGAATTTGAAATTACAAAAAAAATTATATTAAAACATATAGATTTGTATTTGGATTAAATCCAAATTCATAAGGCTTGTGTGTGTGTGTCCAAATTGAGAATTTAGTTTAAATCAAAATTCAAATCCAAATCATTATGCATCTAATCACAACAATAATAAAATATTGTTCAAAGCTCAGATCTATAGAAATAGATGTTTATTTAAAGAGAGATATCCATTATTACATGGTCTTAAGAAAACATGCATGCTCATAAAGGCATGCAAGCCCAGCTATAGCAAGACATAGATACATAACTACGTCTAGCTATTATCATGACATCCCTCCCATCTTACACAGATTTGGCCAAGAAACTCTTGAATCTCCTCGAAGCAGGAACACGACAGACACATTCACAAACTTTTGTGCCCAAAGCATCCTTAATCTCAGTACTATAGCTTGTTAGCTCATCATAGTACCTGTTCCAGAGCATCACTCCACCAAAGTTTGAGGATTCAGTCACGTTCGGAAAAACAACAGACTCGAGCTGATCTGGTGATATGTAGCCATTGGATGCTGCAGACGCGTCATCTGACGCTACTAAGCCCAAAAACACAGAGGTATGATCAGCTACACCTTCCTTGGACGTCCATGTCAACCATGATTCAAGAAGCCCCGTGAAGTCGTTGTTTCCCAAATATTCACACGTTGCGTATTGGCCGTAGTATAGAACAAAGAGATAATCCACAAGACCAGTAGCGATTGCGCTGTCGAACGCTGTGACATCGCAACGTGGAGCTCCTGATATGTAAATCTTTCTGTCTTGGGTCGTCCCTGTTAGAGATAAAAGAGAAATAAGAAGACAGATCATGAATTAATATATAAAGCCCGGTATATGTATACCAAATGGTTTATAACATCTTTAAGCATATTTAATATAAAGAATTTAGCCGAACCATTGATTGCCTTCACAAGGTCGACCCATGACTCGGTGCTTTGATCAAGGTAGGCAAGATCAATGCCGTCTAAGGCCACCGGTCCTAGAAGGCCGGATTCTGATTCGCCGCTAAGGAATTCATCATAAAGATAGCTTGCTAAGGAATTTGGGTCATCAACGGCGTCTACTTCAATGGAAAGAAAGACATGGATGCCTTTGCTTTGACAGTGTTGGATTTCAGACGCTAGGGCTTGGCAATTGCCGGAAGGACAGTGGTTGCTTAATACTAAGGTTGTTGAGTTGCCTGACACATGGAGGTATGCTATGACAACGATGTTGTAGAGATCGGAGTCGCATGTATCGGTTAAGCTGCCTTCACCGGATTCGCTTTTTTGTCCCCAGTAGACAGCGATTTTGCCACCAGCTATGGTTGAGGGACAATCATCGGCATGAGAAAGCTTGGTGATGGAGGACAGTGTGAGAAGAGAAAGAAGGAGAATGAGAACTTGTTTTTTAGAAGCCATGATCAATGGTAGAAGGGGAAGATTGTGATTTTCTTGTCTAGGTTGGTGCTTTATGGTGTAATGGATGGCACTTATTTATAAAGATGGGGCATGGGAATGGAGCAAAGGCGCCGAAAACAGTTTGATAGCAGCTGTGATCCTGTTGGTAATTTGATAAGAATAAAATTTCATTAAATATGCTTTTTCGATACTATTTGTGTTTGGATTCAGTTAATGGCTTAAGTACATTTTTTTTAAATGAGTATATCATGTGGCATGATAATAAGGATTTCATTTAGATTTGATTTAACTGAAAGATTATAAAAAATTTTGTCACATAATACTTAAAAAAATACCCCATCTCAAATTTTTGAAAGAGACCATGTAAATAAAGAGTATTTTAGTCATAATAATTTTTTTGAATATTTAGAGAGAAAGACATTTGATAATTTTTGAGCTAAGTATTGATAAAATATAATAGTTATAATTGAAATACTCATTGAGTGATTAGTTTTATACCACTTACCGAATACCCTTCCATCCTTATTATATTATCTCTCTTTAAGCTTATTAATTTAAAGGTATTCTTGAAAACTTATATTTTTATTTTTATAAAAATAATGTTGCAAATTATATTTAATAAATTTTATTAGTGTACGTAATTTTATCTAAAATTATCTTATAAAATGAGACAGACTAAGTGTTAATTATTAGTTATAAATTATAATAACCGCGTACTTTACATTGGTATAGTTGATAAAGAAAACAAATTTTAAGAAAATAATGTAAAAAGTCACATAAATATCATCTGGCCACCAAAGCGACAGGAATTCTATTTTCTATATCCTAAATATTAATTAATAATTTTATTTTTAGTATTCTACATTTCATTCATTCATTTATTTACCCATCATGTCGCTTTGATTAATAGGCAAGTATTCACATGAATTCATATGAGTCTTTTGGAAGCCAAGGTCTTACTTTTTATAATCACTAAGGAATATATTGTCTTGATTTGGGATTTCTCAACAACATTCCCAATCTTAGAGTCCTATTAAAAGTTCTATTTAAAACACAGTGTCACATTAAATATGAATATTACTCAGATTCAAATCTTACTTGGTTTCGTCACGTGACATTATTACAATTGGACATTTGCAAAAATCCATGTGCATGTCAGTGTGTGGTCACCGTTTTATGACAAAGGATGCGCACCAACATTGAAGCTCGTACCAACTTGCTAAAATTTAATATTAACAATTAAAAACTACAATAAAAACGAAAAGATCAAATATTTTACAAGAGATCAAATCCAAACCACCCAAATTTAAATTTAATGGCTACTTTCTCCGTTAAAAAATATAAAATATTTTTAATTAAATCTTACCCCTAATAAAATAGTTATCTATTTTTAAACTAATACTATCTTTTCTTCTTTACCCCTATTAAACACCCTATAATAAATATAAAGTCATCAATAGGGATATTTTTGAAAAAAAAATAATGATTACATCTTAAAAAATTAAAATATTTTATATTTTTAGACATCCAACTCTTCAAAAAAGCCTTATATTTTTTAAATGGAGGGAATATAAACTAAGAAGAGGATGGGAAAAGAATGGGAAGGGGAGAGGAGAGAATCCTTTAGCTTCAATGTTAACCCTAAAAATAAAAGCGTTAAAAGAAGAATATTCTATAAATTCTAATAATTAAATGTAAATATTCTGAAATAATTTAAAAAATAATCTACTAATTTAAGAGATTACATTTATTCAAATCAAACCTTAAAGATCATTCTACTAAAATAAAAATATTAAATCTAATTAATCTCATATCTCATCAATAAACAAATAACGATATTGAGTGTGAAAGACATTTTCATTTTAGAAGAGCATCTATAAAAATACTCTTCAACGAGTATTACTCCTTCTGTTTTTTTGGTATGTGTTTTAGATTGAATACCTCGTAATATATTTGATTAATTGTGGTGTTAATAGTTTCTCATTTTAGAGATTCTAAGCATGATTTCTTCTTCCACATTGGCTTCCATCTCAGTTATTTAAAAAAAAATCATAATGTTTTCCTGTAAATTTTTTAAAAAAATTGCTCCCAAAGGTCAAAGGTGGTACTGCTTTGTTCTTAATCATGGTTCAAAAGACTTATTATTGAATATCTCCCATGGATTTTTAAAACCGTTAAATCAACTAACGCATTGCTTTACATTATAACAATCTGATCTGAGTGGAATCATAGTAAAAAAAACATGCAGTATTTCATGTTTTTTGTTTTAGAAAAAAACGGACTTCAACGAAATCTTTCTCTAAGCTCAGAGGTATAAACGTTGAAATTTATTAAGAAAATTGCTCCCACCTATACATCGTATTAAATCATTGTTCAAACAAATGGCATGTTACATATGATTTCTTTCATTAATTCAAAGAAGGTGTGAGTATTTACAGTACAATTAATTAATGAAAAAATACAATTATTAGTTCTTATATATAATTTTATTAATTTTGTTTTTAATCTCTTTAGTTTTTAAGTGCTTTCGATCCTTAAAAAGACTAAAAATGCTGAACATATTGAAACTATGTGAATTTGAATAATAAATATCACCCAATTTTATTAAATTATAAATAAAAACTGAAAAACATTGGGAAAAGAAACTACAAGAACGAAAAGTAAATCGTGATAAAATTATAAAGATTAAATAAATAAAATACTATTCATGTAGTAGCTAAGAAAATTCAAATAATAATAAAAGAAAAAAGTTTAAATTAATGCATGGTAAAAGGATTGGCTACATATAGAAAGGAGCTATTGTACCATCGAAAAGTACACCACATGTTCAACGTGCTCACTGCTTTATATCAGAGTGTTACCATTCGTTTACGTGGCGACAAAAATCTGCATAAAATTATGGCCACAAGTTCTTTTGTCTTTGTTTTTTTTTTTTTTAAGTTCTCCTGTGTCTGTGCCAGATAAAAAGTTATCTTATCAAGATTCAAGGCATTTCTATGGTCCCCACTTTCGTGGCCCTAAGTATAATTTGGCTGCTTTAATTTCTCGTCATTTTCTTCCCTTTGTAGGTCTGATATGTGGGAGAATGACGAAAGAAAAAAAATACCACCAAAATATGCGAATAACAAAGAAATATATGAAATGTAATCAAGGGCGGAGCCAGGATTTTTAAGTAAGGGGGATTGAGATCTCAAAACATATACTATAATTGAAGAAAAGAAAAATTTAACATAGGATAAATATTTCAACATCTAGCTATATTCATATTTATTAATTTTAAAAATATAAAACCAAAATAAATATGTACCTTCATTTTTTAAGTTTTGCTCGTCGATTCTTTATGGCATAAAAATCATCAATGATCATGTCTATGGTAAATTTTTCAGCAAGCTCTTTCTCAATATAAACTATCATTAAATTAGTGAGAAACTCATCTTCTATCTTGTTGTGAAGCCTTATCTTTATAATTTTTATAGCTAAAAAAGCTCGCTCAGTGGTTGCTATTAACACTGGAAGAGTCAATGCAAGTCTTAGTAATCTATCAATCAAAGGATAAGAATTGGACTTTCCAACTTTTACAAACTTTTGACATAACTCACTCATCGTAGTCAAGTTTTGAAAATGAGAATCTTTAGGCACATCAAGCTCATAATGTTGTAATTCATATTCTAATCGAATCATTTCTTGATTAGAAATATCTGAAGGGTAAAATTTCTCAACAAGATTGTAGATATTCTTGGCACTAAATGATTTAAATGCATCTTTAAGATCTAAAGCCATGCTCAATTTTAGAAGCTCTATTGCTTGCTCACTGAATTTACTACTTAATTCTTTCAATTAATAATTGATGACTGTATTAAATATATCAATATGATAATGATGCTCAACAGTCACAGAATCTTTATATCGATGAGACTGAATTATATCAGAGTAAAAACAATTCATATCATAAATTTCAATAGCTTGATTGCTACAAAAAGATGTAACTTTTTCTAGAAGATCATCCCAACCATAATCTCTTAACTTTTGAATAAGTGATTTTGTGGTAGATATCAAGGAAATAGCATTCAAAATATCTTGAGATTTTTGTTGCAATGCTCGACAAAGTTTGTCAATGTTTCCCATAATTTCTTTCATCAGATGTAAAATAAAAGCAAAATCAAATGACATCAATGCTTTAAAAGCATATGTAATATTATCTCGTTAAGAATAAGTAAATCTTGTGATAGCTATATCTTCAAGAACTAAAGCAGTTGCACTGTACATAGGTAAAAGGCTACATATAGAATTGAAATGAGAACTCCATCTAGTGCCTCTAGGCCTTTGCAATGTGCCAATTTGGTTGGCTCCACTTCCAGTTTGAATCTCATTATTTTCAACCAAATTGGCAATTTGAGAAGCAAAAGTATCTTGTAATTCATCGTTGCACTTACAAGAAGAACATACAACATCAACAATCATATTCAAGTTTTAAAAGAATGAATGAACATCAACTGCTTCTTAGCTACAGCAACAAGAGCTAGTTGTAATTGATGAGCTAAACAGTGTACATAATATGCATAGGGACATTCTTGAAGAATTAAAGCTTGCAAACCATTCCACTCTCCACGCATATTACTAGCTCCATGATATCCTTAACCTTTAACATTTTGAATGTTGAGATTATAATGAGACAAATGTGAACATATTTCTTGCTTAAGAGTGATCGCAGTAGTATCTTTAACGTGTGCTACATCAAGAAAACGCTCCTTGACAAATCCATTCTTATCAACAAATCTAATAACAAGAGCCATTTGTTATCTTTTAGACTCATCTCGAGATTCATCAAGAATCAAATAAAATTTTGCATTACCAATCTCTTCTTGAGTTTCACCTTATACCTTTTTAGCAAATACGTGTAAAATTTCTTTTTGAGTATCAGGTGAAGTATATTTTGCATTTTGTGGAGCATTTTCTAAGACAACTTCATCTACTTCCTTATTATAAGAAGCCAAAAGCTTTATCATTTCAAGAAAGTTACCTCAATTCTTTAATCCCAGACTTTCATCA